GTCTGCTCTTATCGGCACCTCTAACACTGGCAGGGGTGTGTTTAAAAAAAAATAAAATAAAAAAATAATAATAAAAAAAAAAACACTTTTTCACCAGCTCGCAGAAGAAATCCGCATTTAGAAATCGCGGCTCGGAGATACTTGCGGCTGAACGTGCGCATCTGGCACCTTGCCTGAGGAACAACTCCTGAATATGTTTTACTTAATCAAAATGATTGACATTCATAGGACGCTCCTGAATGTGCTCAAGCCAAACGCACATGCATTGGAAGGAAGAAGAAGGAGAAGATGATGAAGAAGAAGAAGAGAAGAAGAAGAAGAAGAAGAAGAGAAGAAGAAGAAGAGAAGAAGAAGAAGAAGAGAAGAAGAAGAAGAGAAGAAGAAGACGAAGAAGAAGAAGGGGAAGAGGAGGAGGAAGAAGAAGAAGCGAAGGAAGGTGGGAGATGATATACACAAGATATAGCTGAACAGCTCTTGGCTTGACTCTTGGCTCGCTACTCAAAACCGGGGCTTTGAAAAGAAAAGCAAAAGAAAAAACAAAATCACACTACATGAACAAATACAAGCAATGGCTACTCAAACTGGAACGAAACCCGAAAAAAAGAAAAAAAAGAAGGAACAATATCATGGCTACGATCCGGACGTGCGGAGCGCCGTCCAGACCGTCTGGATTCAGTCCGGACTCCAGGCATCCAGTCTGGAAGGTCCGGATCTGCCAAATTTCGAGGGGGGGGGGGGGAAAAAAAAAAAAAAAAATAGGTCGGAGTTTAGAACTTCAATTACTAGTTGAGTAGACGTATCGAAGCACTTCCCTTTCTGTTGGGGGAAAAAAAAAAAAAAAAAAAAGTCCAGGGGACCAGGACCTTTCCCGATTGAGGAGCCAAGTTTTGGGGGGCCCAGGGACCAGGACCTTTCCCCATGGTTTTGGGGGGGGTTCAGGCCCGTTTGTGCTTTTTTTGGGGGGCCCGGAGATGCTCTCTCTCTATAATAATAATTTCGACAACCCCAATTTTTTAATTATTACTAAATTACTAATTCATTACCTTTTAATAGGCTTTTCTTTTATTAGTTTTTAAAGTCTTTTTGTAGGCTTTTTTATAGTTTTTTACTCAAGTTTGGTTAGGAATTCTGACATATCCAGCGGGCTAACTCAGTTGGTAAGGCTCGCAAGTGGCATTCAGGAGGTTGTGGGTTCGATCCCCATTGGCCTCATGTACCTTCCTGAGCATGCTTGGCGCCCGCCACCTAGAGATAGACCACTGGATCCCCCGATCGGCATTGAGCAGAGTCTGCTGATGTTCGTAGGGAAGGGGACCTGAGGGGAGGCACAGGGATTGGCCCTGTTGGCATGGTTCCTGATGCTACCGGCTGTCCCCTAGCCAGTATCGCCCACCTGCAGGTCGGGAGCAGCCCCCGCATGTTCTCTCGTGAACACGGTTCTGGCTGGTACGGGGTTCCCCGTATGCCTACAATTAGGAGTAGTGGTAGGTAGGTAGTGTGAGGTGAAATTGAGAGAAGAATATAGCTTTTTTAATTAAAAAAAAAGGAATTCTGACATGACTCTGATGCAAAAAGCTGTTTGCATTGTTATTCTGCATAACATAGTTTTTTTTCAGTTTTTTTTTTTTTTTTTAATTTATTTAAATGGTCCTGCCCAGACATCCGGACTGTTCGGACCCCCCATGTCCGGACCATTAAACAAAAATAATTAAAAAAAAAAAAAAAAAAAAAAAAAAAAAAAAAAA